TAATACTATATATAATACCAAGAACAATAGCTGCAGCGATGAAAATAAAAATAAAAATAAAAAATGTAATAACTGCTGTTGGTACACTAGATATTGGTTGATCATAGATAGCTGATAATCTAAATAGTATTTTCATCGTTGAATCAATTGGATATAGTTTATCTTACTTAGTAGTTAAAATATTTGTTGATGCTGATGATAATGGGTAATTATGATCGTTGAAAATAAGTTTTTCTGATTGATTTATATCCGCATGATTATTTTTGGTATATTCGACTGATTGTTGTTCCGTTGTAATTGATGTTTGACAATTAAAACGAACTTTTTTCTTCGTAGATCTTTTTATTGAATTATTTATTTTTCCTATTGAATCTTCTCGAAAATATTGTCTTTTAGGTGGAAAATGTACTTCATCGGATGAATCTCTTTTCCATTCACTTGTGATCGAATTCATTGTATTGAATGTTTCATATACAATTCTTTTTCTTTTTTGTTTGTAATACGTAAATTCAAACTTATGTGAAGCACATAAAAGAAAATTCAATTATTCATATTTTTAATTAAGGTTTTATAATGAAGGTGTATTCACTATATATAAATGAATGTATTGATTTTTGAAGGTTTTCTTTTAGCAATGAAAAAAAAAACAGAAATAATATTTTTATATCATGTTATATAAACAATATTTCAGATTGAAATATCCTTCATAAAATAAAAATACAATAAAAAAAAACTTCTTTTTTTGTTGAAGTTTATTCCGAAGGTGATTATAACAAATTCAATGGCAGAGTTTCTACTTGATAGAAATTTATAGTCAAATTAGTTAATTATTGATAATTCTAAATAAAGGGAAATCTTACAAAGTCAACGAATTCAAAGGCTTTGTTTTTTTTTCAAATACTAGAGAAATAAAATTAAATGATAGTTGACATTAGACAGTAAAAATATATACGCAGTAGTTCCAAACATTGTTCGACGAGTTTTATTTTCAACAAGAATCTTTGAAAATGAACTTCAAATAGAGTTTCTGAGAAAAAAACAAAACCCAAGTTTTTCATCTTCTAAAATTCTATCTGAATCAGACAGAAAGATAGAGCAAACATGTTTCTACAAAATGATATGTCTTGCAGCTATTTACGACATTATTATGCCGAGATACATCAATCTTATGGAAAGTATAAAAATGATGTTTCTCTATGCGAAATAGCAGAAAAAAATGACTGATGTGCCTTCCGTAAAATTGACATATCTTGACCAAAAGATGTTTCATTTGTGTAGTGAATCATGCATACTATTATGTTGAATGATGCATATAGAATTCCACATTTGCTACATAAATCAATATTTGAATTCTTACTTGCATTTACTAAAGCGGATAAAAATAGAAAATAAACTTGATCGAATAATTTTGGAAGCTGCTGTCAATATGTATTTTTTAACATATAATAAAAGAAAAAAAAAAAAGAAAAAGTAGTTGTCAGTTATTTTAAAGGATTATGATCGTAGTCAAATATTCTTTGACATAATCAATATTTTTTATAATGATTAATGTTTGAATATGATTTTATTTATTCTGATTAAATAAATCATTTAATTGATGATGATGATGATCATAATCATCAAAGAATAAAAATTTTAATTGAAATAAAATTCTAATTCATCAATTTTTCTTTTTGTTTTTTGTGTCTTGATAAATTATTGACTGTATAACGATCATTTTTCAAAAATGATTCCAAACGAGAAATCGGTCTACTAAACGCGTCAAAAAGAAAAGAGAAAAGTTAATCTTGTTGGAAAACGGATGTTCATAAATCATTTTAATACTATTCCCATTGTCATTTGTCTTAAGTCTATTGTCGTTTATTTCATTGTTTCTAATCATAACTTATGTTGTTATACACACCGTATAGATACATATATAAAAGTCTAGTCACTCCATCAATTATCATTCCTTCTTGTTTTCTGCCATCGTATATATTTATATTCCCTGGATGAAGATTCTTCACACTAACGCGTTCAACGAAACGAGAATAAATTGGTTTAAAGCTTGCTCTTTTCTCATCCTCCCATCTGTTCTTATATGCGTGTGTCTAACGTCTGCTCATTAACTATTCATATTGGAATTGAGATGGTGATGGTTGCATTTTTTCTTGTTTGAGTCTCAATTCTATCTCAAGAGAGTTTGTCGCTCTTTTTTTTCTTTCTATTCCTCTCTAGCTCTCATCCAACTTAATGTATTTATATGATTCTTAACAAGACCAATAAAAAAAAAAAAAAAAGAAAAAACAAAATGAAATTCCAAGGTACTCGACAGTTGCGTGTTTAGACACACGAACATGAGAGATCAATTAATTTACGTTCCATCATATTCTCTCTTGATGATGATCGACAGTATTGATGTCGACATGCAATTTTCTTTTGTATCTATAATAGTAGTAAAGATGAATTATTTGATCCGCAAAAAAAAAGAAATCTTTCGTTTCTCACAATATGATATCTATGAAACAAAAGACAAAACAAGTTAACAACAACAACAACGAGATTTTTTTCTTTTGTTTTCTACTGATAATATGTTCGTTGTAACGCCTCTTCTTTTTTTCTTCTTCTTCTTCTTCTTCTTCTTGATGAACAGTTGTTGCACAGATTAGGTTACTTGATACAAACGCGTGTGTATTGAACATACGGTTTGGGATATCACAACATATAGACGTTTGTCATCATGTCAATTGTGTTAAACATGACCTTTTTATCAGTAAAAAAAAACAAGATTGGAAATAGAATCTTATCGGAAATATACTGATTTGTTCGATTTCTTACAAACGTGTTCATGCAGAAATCTATTTCTTCTTCTCCTTCTACGTCTTTTTTTTCCTATGATGTCCTCTGGGCTCTCTCACACATTGTATACACCAATAGAAACCCTATCTATATGCGCACACGCGCGAGCGCACGAACGATGATGGTGGCGTGTCTATCGTGCGGCTAATTGAAAAATTAATGAAGCAAATATTTTCAAGCAACTACCTCGTCCTATTCGCCTTGCTGAACCAACGAGATAGATGAGACATCAACATCAACAACAAGCAGCACCATCTTCAATCATCGCTCAACTGTATTCAGAGAAGTCCCGTATGGCAAAGTAAAGCAAAAAAAAAAAAAGAAAGAAAATAACAATCATCTACCAATAAGTATCTGAAATCGTTTGATGTCTATATGAGTGATAAAGTTAACATGCTGTGTTTTTAATTATATATACATATATTTCAGATATGTATTTAAATAGACATGAGAAAATTTGATCCGATATTTCCGTTGATTTATATTATTGATTTTTCTCGATTTTATAAGTATACAACGAAATTTCTTGACCGGAATAGGTAAACCACAAGACAAATGACAAGAGATAATGAAAAATTTCCTTCCATTTTGTTTTGCTTGTTGCTATTTGTAAGCCGATTATACTTAGTCGGCATGTACTTGACAAGTTAAACACCCAAGAAAAGAACAACTGTTGCTAAGCTGAAGAAGTTTTCTTCTTCTTTTTTTTTTTTTTTTTTTTTTGTTTTGTGTTGTTGTTGTTGTACTATGCGCAAATAATAGCCTCTAGGCAAGTAAATTATGTAAGAAGAGTTCTATGTATGTGTTGACATCAAAAATCTAACAATCGTATTTTATAACTTTGATCTACCGTCTTGATTGATTATCGTAAAACAAAATAATTCTACTTAAATAATGTACAATACAAGAAAAGAAAAGTTTGGAATTTATATGATATTGAATTTTAATTCGACCTTTAAAAAACAAAATTTGTTTGA